CATAATACGCTCAGCTCACAACGTTATTTGCAACATTAATAGTGAACTCATATAGCAAAATAAGAACATATTCACTAAATCTTTGAATATTCAGTATCTGGTTTTGCATATTAGCACCACATTCTGCTCCGATTCCAGAATTATTCAATACATTGATAGTGAACTCATGACGAAATCACTGAATAATCAATATTATGGTTTTGCCATAATGTGCTCAGATTTCAACATTTATAGCAACATTAATAGGGAACTCATAGCAAACTCATTAAATATTTAGCTAAATCTTCGAATATTCAGTATCTGGTTTTGCATAATGGTACCACATTATGCTCAGATTCTAGAATTATTTGCTATGTTGATAGTGAACTCATTGCATATTCAATATTGCGGTTAAGACATAATACAGTGAGATTCCAACATTATTTGCAACATTTATAGTAATTTTAATAATTGAATATTCATATCATGCTCTGAATCCAACATTATTTACAACCTTGACCCTGAACTTACAGTAAATTGATGAATCGATTATTCACTATCATGGCTGTCACAAGCTTGGATTGCAACGTAATTTTCAAACGTTAACAATGAACTCAAATCATTGAACACTCAGTATTAGAGCCAGCATAATTATACACAGATTCCAACATTATTTACAACGTCGATATTGAAGTGTAAAACCATTGAATATTCAGTATCATGGTCTTGCATAATAGCGCCATATTACGCCTAGATTCCAGAATCTAAGAAATCCAGAAACTCTTGAATTTTTTGTATTATTGTGTTGCCATAATATGCTCTGATTCATACATTATTTGCAATTGTTAAGTCAACTCACAGCGAAATCATTGTATATTTAGTATTATTGTGTTGCCATATTAAGCTCTGATTCACACATTACTTGCTATGTTGATAGAATGCTCAATTCCAGAATTATTTGCTACACTGGCAGCGAATTTATAATGAAATCGTTTAATATTAAGTATCAGGGTATTACATGGTGCCACTATATTATATGCTCAGAATTATTTCCAGCAATGATATTAAAAGGAGAATGAAATCACTGAAAATTCAGTATCATGGATTTGCATAAGAGCACCATATTATACTCAGATTCCAGAATTATCATATTATAATTATTTTGCAGAATTATCATGTATAAATTCCCGCAAATTGTCATTATGTTAAGATTTGAGAATTATTTGCTGTGATGAAAGTGAACTTAATCCAAAATCATTGAATATTCATCATCTTCTGAATATTCATTAATTTAGTTTTGCATAATAGCCACACATTATGGTCAGATTCCAGAATTATTTACTATATTGATAGGAAACTCATAGTGAAATCATTGAATATTCATTATCTTAGTTTTGCATAATATCCACAGATTAAGCTCAGATTCCAGATTTATTTACTATATTGATAGTGAACTCATAGTGAAATCATTGAATATTCATTATCTTAGTTTTGCATAATATCCACAGATTAAGCTCAGATTCCAGATTTATTTACTATATTGATAGTGAACTCATAGCGAAATCATTGAATATTCATTATCTTAGTTTTGCATAATATCCACATATTAAGCTTAGATTCCAGATTTATTTACTATATTGATAGTGAACTCATAGCGAAATCATTGAATATTCATTATCTTAGTTTTGCATAATATCCACAGATTAAGCTCAGATTCCAGATTTATTTACTATATTGATAGTGAACTCATAGCGAAATCATTGAATATTCATTATCTTAGTTTTGCATAATATCCACATATTAAGCTTAGATTCCAGATTTATTTACTATATTGATAGTGAACTCATAGCGAAATCATTGAATATTCATTATCTTAGTTTTGCATAATATCCACAGATTAAGCTCAGATTCCAGATTTATTTACTATATTGATAGTGAACTCATAGCGAAATCATTGAATATTCATTATCTTAGTTTTGCATAATATCCACAGATTAAGCTCAGATTCCAGATTTATTTACTATATTGATAGTGAACTCATAGCGAAATCATTGAATATTCATTATCTTAGTTTTGCATAATATCCACAGATTAAGCTCAGATTCCAGATTTATTTACTATATTGATAGTGAACTCATAGCGAAATCATTGAATATTCATTATCTTAGTTTTGCATAATATCCACAGATTAAGCTCAGATTCCAGATTTATTTACTATATTGATAGTGAACTCATAGCGAAATCATTGAATATTCATTATCTTAGTTTTGCATAATATCCATAGATTAAGCTCAGATTCCAGATTTATTTACTATATTGATAGGAAACTCATAGTGAAATTATTGAATATTCATTATCTTAGTTTTGCATAATATCCACAGATTAAGCTCGGATTCCAGATTTATTTACTATATTGATAGTGAACTCATAGCGAAATCATTGAATATTCATTATCATAGTTTTGCATAATATCCACAGATTAAGCTCAGATTCCAGATTTATTTACTATATTGATAGTGAACTCATAGCGAAATCATTGAATATTCATTATCTTAGTTTTGCATAATATCCACAGATTAAGCTCAGATTCCAGATTTATTTACTATATTGATAGTGAACTCATATCATTGAATATTCATTATCTTGGTTTTGCATAATAGCTACACATTATGGTCAGATTCCAGAATTATTTACTATATTGAACTCATAGCCAAATTATTGATTATTTAGTATCATGGTTTTGCCCCTAAATGCTCAGATTCCAACATTGTTCGCAACACTGATAGTAAAGTCACAGCAATATTATGAAATACTCAGCTAAATCATTGAATATTCAGTATCATGGCATTGCGTAGTGCAATTTTATTATGCTCAATTTCTAAAACTATCCCCAACGTTAAAAGTAAATGGATAGCGATATCTTTGAATCTTTTGCATCATGGTTTTGCATGAAAGCACCACATTATGCACAGCGTTTAATATTCATATCATGGTTTAGACACATTATGCTCCAAACATAAGTATTTGCAAGATCTATGGTGAACAAATAGCAAAATCATTAAATATTTAGCTAAATCGCTTAATATTCAGCATCACTGGTTTGCATAGCAGCACATTATGCTCAGATTCCAGAATTATTTGCTGCAATGCATGTGAATTTATATTGGATTGGTTGAATTTTCAGTATTATATACGTAATATCAATACATTATTCTCAGACTTCAGAATTGTTTTGCTAGGTGGACAACAAATCTATAGTGAAATTGGCACAATATGCTCTGATTTTTACTTTATTCGCAAGGTCAATACTGAAATTTGCAATGTTCTCCCTGAGTCTAAACACAAGCATGTCTTCTTATTCGCGCATACATAAATGTTTAGACAGATCCTAGAGTCTTGAGAGAATATTGAGTCACACGAGCTGATTTCAGACATCACCTCGGTCACCGAGGACTTCGAAGTGCTGTAATGTTTCCAGCAGCTCCCGGGGACTCGTGAAAGAAGAACTCCTTTAGTAGGAAATGTGCAATCTGATGAAGAGCTTCCTGAAATCTGCTCTTATTTACAAATTATACCAGAGCTGTACTGACCACTCAGTTACCATGCAATAGATCTGAAGGACAGTTGCTAATGCAAAGGCTATACTGTAGCATTTCAACTCGTATTTTAGTTGTTTTATCTACTTTGCTACACTGTAAAAAATGCAGGGTTGCACACAATTTATTCATGTTGTCCCAACACAAATCGATTAAGTTAGCTTTTAACAAATTTACATGGATTTAACATAAAAAATTAAGTTGTCTCAATGAAATGTCAAGAATTTTGTTGTTTCAGCTCATTTTAAATAAGTAGTTTGAACAAGTAAAAAAATATAGTTTGAGTATACGTGAATTCTTAGTGCAAGTAAAAAAAATTCCCATGCCCATATAATAAATAAATCCCATTTAAACATCAACATTTAACAAAAATTATGTACTTTAAACACTTAAAATCATAAATAAATGAACAAAAATGACACAATGCCAAAAGCAAATATCAAAATAAAAGTATACAGAATTCATTAATTCATTTTCTTTTAGGCTCAGTCCCTTTATTAATCCTGGGTCACCACAGCGGAATGAACCGCTAACTTATCCAGCACGTTTTTACGCAGCGGATGCCCTTCCAGCCTAAACCCATCTCTGGGAAACAATCATACACACTCATTCACACTCATACACTACGGAAAATTTAGCCTACCCAATTCACCTGTACCCCATGTCTTTGGACTGTGGGGGAATCCAGAGCACCCAGAGGAAACTCACGCGAACGCAGGGAGAACATGCAAACTCCACACAGAAATGCCAAATGAACCAGCCGAGGCTTGAACCAGTGACCTTCTTGCAATGAGGCGAGAGCACTACATACTGCGCCACTGCATTGCCTTAGTTTTTTATTTATTTATTTTATTTTATTATTATTATAACAGCTCAGGGATGAATCTTTTCTAATACAGGGTTGTAAATTAACGCTTTTCTTGTTTTTTTATCAATTCATCGATTAATCGAAGAAATAATTGACAGATTAAGTGATTATTAAAATAATCGTTAATTGCTGCCCCAACAGTATGCTAAATTAAGCTACACGTTCATCATTAATTCATTTTCCTTCAGCTTAGTCCCTTTATTCATCAGGGGCCGCCACAGCGGAATGAACCGCCAACTATTCCAGCATATGTTATTTTACCCAGCGGACGCCCTTTCAGCTGCAACCCAGTACTGGGAAGCACCCATACACTCTTACATGCACACACAGTCTAAAAAATGCTGGGTTGTGTTGAGTCAAATATGGACAAACCCAAACATTGGGTTAAAAGCTGTCATTTAAAATGAATTTGAAAGAATTGACCCAACACTGACATTTTTCAAAAGTTTAAGTAGATATCAACAGGTTCACGAAGACCCGTCAGTTTTACTTTTAGTCTAGTCCAATACATACATACTTATTAATAAATTATAATAACAGTTAGAAGTACAACATACCTTTTTATATATATATATATGGTCCCAAGTAACAGGTCTCGGTTCACAGATGACTTTGTGTCGAAGTCAGCGAAGACTTTAAAAGCGAGTCAAAAGAAACGTCCACTGTAAAGTCCATCTGTTCCTGGAATAAACCATCACAAAGACGCTCCTTTTTAGCAGTCCGGACTTTATGTTGCCTTCTGCTCCCACAGTCCGAGAAGCACTGAGAACTGTATTGTTGTCCTCTATCCAAGTCTGAGCGAGCAGAATGACTAGGAAAAGAGAGACCAATGAGAAGGTCTTGCTTGATGATCTGCCTTTTCAGTGTCCTGTATGAGAGAAAGATGGTGTACGGAGACGGTTTAGATGCTTTAGAGACCCCACACTCCTTTATGTCCTGACCCGTGAAGCGCTGTGTTGACTAAGAGCTAATTTTACCTCATGCGCTCAGTCTCTCGTAGCGTTTAGCAGCTGAGGGGGCTGAAACAGACGTCTGTGAACCCTGCTGACAGCTGGACCGTGGTATTCTGCCAAATGAGGAAAACACGGTCATTACTGGCCGGGCAGTTGCTGGGAAAGAAATGAACTTCTCTGTCTCAGGTGCTTCAAGTGATGTCGGCAAAACTGGCACCCAAACTAAAGAGCACATCAGAGTGAACCACACCAAATCGGTCAAGGTTGACATTCAGAAAAAAAATGTTTGTGTGTGTATGTGTGTGTGTGTGTGTGTACTTGTTTATGTGGTTTACGAGGACACAAAAGTATTTACTGACCTAGATGTACATTAATTTGGTATAGTAATAAGCAGTTTTTACAGTATAAAATACATTGTGCCAATGGAGATTACACCAGTGTCCTTGTAAATCATATATACAAATATGTGCGAGTATGTGTACTTGTTTATGTGGATTACTAGGATACATAATTGTTTACTGACCTTGGTATACACGATTAAGTTAGTAATAAGCAGATTTTATAGTTTACAATACACTGTGGCTATGGAGATTACTCCAATGTTCTTGAAAATCATATATACAAATATGTGTGTGTATGTCTGTACTTATTTATGTGGTTTACGAGGACACAAAATAGTTTACTGACCTAGGTGTACACTATTAATTTGGTAATAAGCAGATTTTTTTACAGTATAAAATACACTGCGCCTATGGTGATTACTACAATGTTCTTGTAAATCATATATACAAATATGTGTGTGGACATATGTACTTGTTTATGTGGTTTACGAGGACACAAAATTGTTTACTGACCTGGGTATACACTATTAAGTTGGTAATAAGCAATTTTTGTATAGTTTAAACACATTGTTCCAATGTAGATTACAGCAGTGCCTTCATAAATCACATATACAAATATGTGTATGTGTGTACTTGTTTATGTGGTTTACGAGGACACAAAATTGTTTACTGACTTTGGTATACACTATGAAGTTAGTAATAAGCAGATTTTATAGTATAAAATACACTGTGGCTATGGAGATTACTCCAATGTTCTTGTAAATCACATATAAATATGTGTGTGTATGTCTGTACTTGTTTATGTGGTTTACGAAGACTCAAAATTGGTTACTGACCTTGGTGTACTCTATTAAGTTGGTAATAAGCAGTTTTTTACAGTACAAAATACATTATACATGATGTCTATTTGATTACATCTGTCATATATACAAATATTTGTGTGTATGGTTGTACTTATTTATGTGGTTTACGAGGACACAAAATTGGTTACTGACCTATTAGTGGGTACACTATTTAGTGGGTAATAAACAGATTTCTTGTATAGTATAAACACATTGTGCCAATGAAGATTACATCAGTGCCTTCATAAATCACATTTACAAATATGTGTATATGTGTACTTGTTTATGTGGTTTACGAGGACACAAAATTGCTTACTGACTACACTCAAAAAAATGATATGTTGGCTTTAATTAACTTTTTTATGTTAACAGGTTCCACGTAACAGAGTTAAGTTACCTTAAAGAAAGAATATTTATTTGAGTGAACTTAAGTTAGTTAAATAAAGGTAAGGTAATGTTGTTTAGTTCAATCAACACAACATTTATAATTTAGCTCTAATTTATTTACACTGCTAAAAAAATCCGTTAAATTTACTGAAAAATACCGGCAATGGTTGCCAGGAATTTTCTGTAAAAATACGGAAGTTTATAGGACTGTTTAAATTTACAGAAAATAACCATATTATATCAACTGATACAATGCTAAGTTCACAAAAACCCAGTTTAGCTCCCAAAAACATAAAGTCATTCAATGCACTAATGTGTTCATGTATGTATAATTAGCAAACAGATTTTCACTGTATTTGTAACTACACAGTTACTTTTAAACAAAAGAAGATGCATCACAACATCATCTATCCTTAGTTTATATTGGACTTGCACACAGATGCTACTATCCTCCATACACTATTAAGTTGGTAATAAGCTATTTTTGCATAGTATAAACACATTGTGCCTATGGATATTACATCAGTGTCTTTGTATATCCTATATACATATATGTGTGAGTGTGTGTGTGTCTGTATTTGTGTTTACAAAGAAACAGAATTGTATAGTAATGTGTATATTGTCATTTCTATAGCTGGCATTCCAAAAATAGTAACAAATAACAGAAATAATCTTAATCTTTAATATTTTTTAGTGTGTGTGCATGTTTTATATATACTACTGTTGGTTTTTCATCAATTGCAATTTAAAGAATTAAAAATCTAGTGTTCCTAAAAGATAATGATAATAATCCTGAAACTGATGCATTACAGTAAGGATGACATTTTTTTGATTTATGAAAATAAGATTCACATGGTTCTGGTTTCTTTCTAATCTAATGCGTTTGACTTTGTAATATAAGCAGAATCATTTCCCGGGACACATTTATTGCTTTACTTTTGGTAAAGTCTTGCCAAAGTGCCACAAGAGTGACAGCATGTCATGACAAACACTGGCACAGTAGTGTCAGGAATGTCACTGAGGGCTGTGTTTACAGCTCTGTTTCTATTGTAAAGCCATTTGGCAACAACAACTCAAGTGTTTGAAATCAGTCACAATAAATACCGTACATTATCAGGGTTTCTTCATGTTTCATCAAGTCAAATGAAATACTTTTTAAGACCATTTAAGGATAAAAATGAATTAAATGCTAAAGTTAAAACCTTAACAAACCTTAAACAAGACATTAAAAACAAAAAGTATTGAAAGGAAGATAATTCAACCATATTAATAAATAAATAGAGTTAATAAATAAACGTTTTTCAAAACTATTTAAATATATTGTTAGTGACTGGAAGGGTGATGATGGCCCATAGCTTTACATGGACACAAGATAATTAAGATCTACAACACAATATTTCAGTTGATTTAAAACTTTTGAACGCCTAAATGTATAGTTTTTGAAATGTAAGACTTTTTAAGACTCCTCAGATACCCTGATTATTATGATAAAAAATAAAATAAAATCTCTAACACAAAAATTGTATATATATATATATATATATATATATATATATATATATATATATATATATATATATATATATACTCATGTTATTTTCTTTATATATTACTATGGTAATAATACTACATTTGAAGAATCAGAGTTCCAGCAAATACCAACTAAAAGCAACACAATGTATTAACTCATTACAATCACAGTATGTAAGTGAAAAGGAAATATTATATTATGTCTGTTTTCTGAATGAACTAGCAACAATTTCTGGAACAATTTAAATATATTTTTAAAAAAGCCTCAGCAAATGCAAAACATCAGCCACAGATCTGACAATCCTGGTCACAAATACCAACAGTTTCTCCCATTAAATAAATAAGTAAATTAATTAATTAAAAAAGTAAGTTGCAAATTTCTCACAATTTTGAGTCTCCCTTACACAATTTTTATTTTGTTCTGAAGCAGTATACTTCAAGAAATTAACTGCAAGTAGAAATAATAAGCTGTAAATCTGTTTAAATACTGTTTTATTAAAACATTTATACTTTGAAAAAAGTTTATATTTATAATGTATATTTTACTTTTTTCTCAACATTTTTAAAAACTGACAGTACTAAAAAAGAAAATTAAATTGCAAGATATAAACTTGGAATTGCGGGGGGAAATTAGAGTGGATGTTGTTTTATAAAGCAGTTCTTGAAAGCATATGGTATCACAGTGTGGTTTGGCAACCTAACTGTTTAGTGTAAATCTAAGTTGATGCATCTCTTAAAGACAGCATGGAAAATGGTTGGGCACAATGAATATTTTAATCCTCAAGTTTTATATGAGAATTGTGTCCTCAATCAGGTGGAAAGGATTGTGGACGATCCAACTCATTTTTTGTATCAACATTATTAACTGCTTCCCTCTGGTAGAAGATATAGAGTCCCAAAGTGTAAGTTATAACCGTTAGAAATCCTTTGTACCTGTTTCAGTGGGTTTATTTAACAAGAGTCTTTCTTAATAAGCATTATAAATTTTGTCAGTGGCGCCTGCAGCCATACAGCTTTAGCACTGTGCGTACCTACCATGAGAGGGCAGTAATTAATGCCGCTTTTTTATTTATGACAATTTAAATCGATTATTAAACAGTAAAGAAACAAACTACAGTTGAAGTCAGAATTATTAGCCCCCCTTTGATTTTTATTTTATTTTTTTTAATATTCCCCAAATTATGTTTACCAGAGAAAGGAAATTTCGACAGTATGTCTGATAATATTTTTTCTTCTGGAGAAAGTCTTATTTGTTTTATTTCGGCTAGAATAAAAGCAGTTTTAATTTTTTTAAACACCTTTTTAAGGACAAAATCATTAGTCCCTTTAGGCTATTTTTTTTTTGACTATCTAAAAAACAAACCATGGTTATATAATAACTTACCCTAACCTGCCTAAATAAACTAATTAACATAGTGAAGCCTTTAAATGTCACTTTAAGCTATATAGAAGTGTCTTGAAAAATAGCAAGTCAAATATTATTTACTGTCATCATGACTAAGATAAAATAAATCTGTAATTAGAGATGAGTTATTAAAACTATTATTTTTAAAAATGTGTAGAAAAAATCTGCTTTTGTTAAACAGAAATTGGAAACAAAAAAACAAAAAAAAACAGGGGGCAGCTCCAGGTTGTGTGTAAATACAACAACCTGGAGCTAAACACGCTCAACACAGTGGATATGATAGTGGACTTTGGGAGAAACCCCCCTGCACTCCCCCCACTCACCATCATGAACAGCACTGTGGTAGAGTCTTTCAGGTTCCTGGGCACCACCATCTCTCAGGATCTGAAGTAGGACATTCACAGACTCGATCGTGACGAAAGCCCAGCAGAGACTGTACTTCCTTCGTCAGCTGAGGTAGTTTAACCTGCCACACCAGCTGCTCGTACAGTTCTACTCAGCTGTCATCCAATCCATCCTCTGCACTTCAATCACCGTCTGGTTCGGCTCAGCTTCCAAAACCGACCTCCGTAGACTACAGCGAATAGTCCGGACTGCAGAACGAATCACTGGCACTACCCTTCCTACACTTCAAGAACTGCACTCTTCCAGAGTGAGTGAAAGGGCTCGCAAAATCACTCTGGACGCCTCACACCCAGCACACTACCTGTTCGAACTGTTACCGTCTGGTCGACGCTTCAGAGCACCAAGCACAAAAACAGCCAGACACAGGAAAAGTGTCTTTCCTCAGGCCATCTACCTCATGAACAGTTAAATATCCCCCTACTGTGCAATAAATATGTGCAATACCTTCTCATACGCACTTGTCCACAGCACCTTATTTCAACATACAATGCAATACTTTCTACATTCGCATTTGTCCACAGCACCTTATAACCTGTATATTTATAACAAATCTGTACATACAACTCAACATCCAGATTTCTGGACTAACTGCATCTCTGTTTAACGTTTATCATCTTTTTTCTCATATTTATTTTGTGTTGTCACTTGTCACATTATGTACACTGGAAGCTTCTGTACACAAAAACAAATTCCTTGTGTGTGTGAGGCTGTCACATATCCAGCGATCGCTCTCCAGAGATCGCTGGTTCTCACAACAAACCATGGACTACACTTCCGCCTTTTCCTGGACTACATATTCATACATGCACTTCTCTAAGACACTCACGCCTGCTCATTCATCTAGCTTGATTACACTCACCAGCTGAACCTTGTGAGAGACTGATAACACACCATTCATAAGCCACTCATTGACCCATCTTGTTGGCCGGACACTGCAAGAAATATGAAGATGAAAGGAGAGAACTTGGTAAGAATTTAGAAGAAATAAAAGTTCAATTCAAATTAGATGACATCCTACAAAATAAATCAGGAAATAAATGTTTTACCTTTTTATTGAAATATCTTAAAGGGTCACGAAACACCAAAACACATTTTTTGAGCTGTTGCTAGTCGTATATGTGTCCCACACTGCTAAAAACACTATTAGAACACCTATATTTCACTAAAAAGTGTAAATTGGTTGTTTTTGCGTTACTTCAAGCAAATTCGTACTTCCGGTTTGAAACAAATTTTTGAAGCTGCGTCACGGTCAGGACATAATAGCGTGTATTCCAGCGTGCAGACTGGGCGTCTGTGCCAGAGTGAGTCTTATTACGTCTTACAGTGTGATGCATTAATGCAGGAGTAAAGCTTGGTTCAAACCAATCAGCGCGCTCTATTGTGCAACTTCATTAATATTCATTAGTGTCACCGTGTTTACGCCACAGAGACGCCACGTTGTGTTGGCAAAACAAGCGTGAAGTGTTGCTTTTATAGTTTGCTGCCGTTAAGTTTCGTTTTCTTTTTCACTCTGTGAGAGCTCAGACTCACGTGTGGATTAACAGTGTACGCGACGCTCGACAACAATAACTTACGTGTCTAAGGAGGATTATTGTTTACCTGAGAGCTGTTCTCATCTGCAAACGCTGAGATCTGGAATCGCTTGTAGTATTCTCTTCATAGAGACGCGGCTCTAGTTGCTGTGGATTGTCCTGTCTCTACAGATTTGGTAAGTGAGCAACTAGTGCTCTTTGTTTATTCAGTTTGTTCGTATCGAACTAAGTTAACTATTGCACCGTAACATGTTAGGACCACAACCAAACTTTAACCTCGTGGAGGGTTTTTAACCGCATTTTGTGACCGGAATAACACACGCGGCTTTCTGACGCTACCTGCCGTGTGCATCTAAGTTTCCGGAAAATGCTGAGGTTTTTTTTTCTCTCATTCGCCGTGCGGTATCAAACATTGCATGAAAAATACACGCTTAGAGCAGTTCCTCGAATCAAATATCTCGTTTGTCGCGAGGGACATGAATGAATTCCCTGAATGAAAGAGCCAAACTGCAGTTAAAGTCCACCATTTAATAATTTGGCAAATAATTCCACTACAGATGTCCATGTAGGTTAAACACCATTTCTTTCTCCTGTGTGTGAGTATTTTGACTGAAACTCGCGCGTGCCCAAATAGACACTCCCACACACTCCCACTTTAGTTCCTCCGACACTCCCCCCTAAACAGAGCTGGACACGCCCACTTTTCTGACTTTTTCCAAAGTAGAGGTGTGAAAACACCCTGCTGAAACGAGGGGGTTTCATGGCCCTTTAAAAATTCGCATTTATGGGGGAGGATTTAATAAAAGAAAGCGGTAGGTGAGGGCTAAATCAAAATGATCCACACTCCATACCAGTTGGTGGCGGAAATACACCATTTTGTTGTTTGTCAACCGCCATTAAATTGAAGAAGAAGAAGAAGAAGAATCTTGTTGGCCGAGTCTTGTTAGCTGTTTCAGTTACATTACAAAGCGTTTCTCCCTGTCTTGTTTCTCCGTGTTTCACCCTAGCCTTGTTAACCTTTGTTCTTCTGTTTAGCTGCCTGCCTTTAGACCTATTGCCTGTTTATACGACGACGATTCTGGACTGCCTGAATATACCCGTTTGCACCTGTTTGATCATTTCTTGCCTGATGCTGAATAAACCTGCATTGTGGATCTTACCCCAAGTTGTCTCGGTCACTCCCCCCGTCGTAACAGAGGCACACTTGGCAATAAAACTGATTCTGATAACTCTGACTTCAACTGTATATGCAAAATTCGTTTTAAAAATATATTTTTTCCCAAGAAAAAAATTACGAATTATATTTTAGTTTCAGCCCAGCTGTGCGAGTGGATGATTTTCGGTCAGTGGAAAGTAAGGGTTTTATTAACGCTTCACTATTGTATCCCAATCTTCTGTCATATATTTGCAAATGTTTTGATATGTCATAGTTTTAAAGATTACATTTTGAGCGTCTGATTTTTCCTTGGTGCTGATGTGCGTTCATTACATTTAGATTTCAACAAAATATTAAAATTAAAAAGTAAACAAATTATTATTAAGTATGCCCTTAAATAATGTAGCATTTTGACAGTAAGCATCAATGTTTTTTGACATGATTGGGGGAAGGGTGGTGGATTTGTGCATTCCTTGAAATAAAATCCTGCAGGCGCCCCTGAATTTTGCAACTGCTGTATTTTGTATTGTTTTTATGGGATGTCTGCAGCAATATGGTGATGACCATAACCAATTTCCTGTCAAGGAAAATTAATTTTACTACTCAGGGCTCAACAATAAGGACTGTCCGATGGCCCAAGGCCAGTGTGAGAGATGCTCGGGACAGTAGACAGAATCGATACTGGCTCAATAGGGTCACTAAGGGTGCTTTCACACCTACACTTTTGTTTCGGAACCTGTCTCGTTTGCCCAGTTAGCGTGGTTCGTTTGGCATATGTGAAACCCCCAATCGTGCTCGGATCCGCGCCAAAACAATCGCTCCGAGATCGCTTGAATGAGGTGGTCTCGGCTCAATAGAAAGGAACTTTGGAGCGGATCGATTGTAGTGAGAAAGCAAACGATCCGAGGCCGGTTATATTCCAGTGTATTATAGATATGTAATAGGCATACTGCTATATGAAGAGAGAATTATGAGTAGGGCGGGAGGTCATTCAACAGACATCCCAAGTCTCCCGGAAGTCTCGTTAGTCTCCCGCAAATGCACAGAGACTCAAGGATGCCCGCAAACGAGTGATAATCTCCTGGTAATCACGCGTCTCCCTCCCGGTCCTTAAATATGTCGCGCACCATTCTCACCCCTCCCCACCACATCAGTCTTCGCTCTTCGGACATGCAGCGTGCACCCTGTCAAACACCACCAAACCACCACCTTCCCTGACACCTGAGCGGGACTCTACAAAATAAACCGTGATACTCTGATCAATGTGAGGATAGTTTACTCACACATGACTTGTTTTAGCTCTTTTGGTCCGTTTAGAAACTTTGCCGTGTGAAAGCGAACCGCACCAAGAGCAAAGAGCAACAATGTAACAATTTTAATCCCTGTTTCTGAACAACTGAATTGATTCACAGGTGTGAAAGCACCCTCAATTTTAATTTACCTGATACTATTTGTGCTTTTAAGTCTTTGAATGCTGCCTTCTCTGTGAAGTTGTAAACACCATATTGCTTTTCTTTTCCTCTTATCTGATTGGATGTTGTGAGCACGTTATTTTATATTTCATAAATAATTTTGCAAAAAAATACCAGCACATTTTCCTACTACTACAACTAAAACTAATATTATGTTTGGTAATTTTCAGAGTTGTGACTTGATTTCTCTCAATAGCAAGTTTCTAAGCATTCTTTAATAAATTTCTCACAATTCTGAGAGAAATATTGTATTGAAATTCTCACAAGAGGGCAAAAAACTGAGAAAAAAAAGAGTCAGAAACGATCAGCTAGCAAACACAAATGCTGCCTTATTCTGAATCTACAACACAAGACAACATAAACAGCAACACGTGTAAGAAGAATGCTGTTTTACATCATCTGTGGGAAGCACAGAAACATTCCTGCATATTATTTCATTTCAGACATGCATCATATGTAGATTAATATACAGCAAATACACAAAACACCTATTCATCTGACATGCAGACAGAGATTTCATTGTGATTTGGTTGATAATCCGTTGAGCAGTATGAAACAGCGCACCCTAGCGGCCGCTTCGCTAACCAAAACACAAAGGGGCAATGTTTGCGATTTTATTCTGATAAAAAGCAGTATTTTTAATACATTTCAATGACTTTATACTTTTTTCTTATATTATTTTATTTTTACGAAAGAAATACCTTGTGTGTGCTGAAAATACATTTCGTTTATCCTCCTCCTCAGACGCCATGATTAACCGTTAATGCCAATTAGCGGTATTTTTAAGCTAAGTTAAAGAAGCAGTGCGCACTCTTTCACACCCTCTCTCGTGTTTTCTTACAGCTTGTTCTTTTGGCATGTCCTAAAAAGAAAATAGATAGCGAAGAAAATCGTCTGTACACCTCCAGTTTACATACAGACCGGTGCTCGTTTAGATTGACTACATTTCCCGAGTGCGTCGGAGACGTTGCGGCGTGACGTCAACGCGGCTGCTGTCAGTCAGACAAAGACAGTCAGTCAGTCAGTCAGGGCGAGTCTTCCTCACAACATCACATAAAATATCATCTTCATCACCTGACAGAGCGCGTTAAATGGTCTGCTGCGCTGAGATATTGTGTATTTTCCTCATTCCAGGTAAGAAATGTGATTTAACCCCCAAGGGGAGTCAGTTTTGTGCTGGCTCGTGCTAAGCTAACTAGCCGCCTGGGTAATACAGTTCGTTTTGTTTATGTTGTTCAGAAACGCGCTCTGTGGTTGAATGTTAATCGACATATATTTTTAGTTTAAACCAACATACGCTTGCTTCCCGCCTAGATAGTTCATGTAGTGATCTACCAGTCGGTTAATAAGTTATTTAGCTAGTTTTCCCAGTGTAAAAGTGCTGAACTCATGTCTTTATTAATGCATATTTGTCGTATTTACTGATGAATATTAATAAACAATCTTGTTAATAACTCGCTGAGATTTATACACGCTTGCGTGAGGCTTTTGAGTGTCTTTTTGCAGAGGTCAGATCACAGATGAGTCATGAAAAACTTATTTTTTGTTTATATACATTTAAATACCTCGTGCTTGCTTAAGAAATAGATGTTTATATGTTCATTATGCACGTTTACTATTGTTTTGAATGCAGGATGTGCAGTTATTTTCATGCACAGAGATGATGGGCGTAGATTCTGCTCTTTTATCACTGTCATATGACATGCATTTAGAAAATATTCACATTATTTATTTCGAAACACAGTGTGGGCTTTGAGTGGAAAGCCCTACAAATGCAATGCATGATCTGAAATTGGTATAACTGTGATTTGTTTGTAATCTCCTGCTGCATGGATATGTTCTGATTCACATTCATAACTTGAATCTTCAATATGGATGCATGGAGAGAGAAAAAAAATCCTTTTATTTGTGAAACTATTGATAGAAGCTTCGGCTTTGTCTTTTGAAACACCCGAACGAACAAATAAGCTGTTAAATGCATTATCCATCATTCAGTGTTTATTAACTTAGAGATGTTGCATGGTTTAAAGATTAAATGTACACTTTTTTAAGGGTGTAAATGACCAGAAGAGCTGTGCTAACATAAAACTAGTTGCTAAAATGAATTATTAACGCATTAGTACATGTTATAGTACACTTTATTTGTTGTTGGATTTTAGAAATGACACATGGAGAAGTCAATTCATCACTAGCTCTGTCAAACTGTTAAAAGCATCATCTTTCCATCCCTCAGAATGACTTTTACACAATGACCACGTCTGCATGAAGCAGTAGTTATTAAATGAAAAGAAGAAGGGCACCCGGAATCTCATGTGGATTATTATTTAAAGCTCTCGGTGAACTCGTTTGACTTGTGGATGCAGTCAGATGAGCTGATGCACGTGTGCATGCGGTGCAGGACTGCACCCTTGACTCGCAGTCTCTGCAGCTGTGCCCTCATAAAGAGCCCTGCAGTGAACGCCTGCAGTGTCTAATACCAGGTTTACGTCTTTAAGTGCGCCACATAAGCACTAATGCAGCAGGCCTCATGGGTGAGACCCCCTGTGCATGTTAAACGACATCAGGATGGCATGATGCTTTTTTTTCACAATGGCGACAGCGTTCTGCATGGCTTTCATCGCACACACAAATTTCTGTCTCAGTCAAAGCCTCGCAGCGATGTATTTTTAGAAACCCACAGTGGCTGCCACGTTCCTATCACAGACTTTTATAAGGATCATCTGAGATCTAAGTGGAAGCAATTATGCTGCACAAGAGCTCGCTGAGCCTTTTTTAGCGGCAAGCGCTCAGGCTCCTGTGGAGGAAGGTTAACGGTTAACCTGTGTAAATATAGTAGGTCTGGAATAATGGAAAATGGCAAACCAGTGGGGAATTTCACAGTAAACTAGTGGTTCTGCTGGGATGGTTAAGTTATAGGAGTTACACTGCAAAACTAAATGTTCTTACGTAGATATTTGGACTAGAAACAAGATGACAAAATCTAATTGTTAAATCAAGAAGCAAAGGCTATTGTCTTGATTTCAGAAATAATACGACAAAAATTAAGTGAGTTTTACCTCAAAACAAGCAAAATAATCTGCAAATGAGGTAAGCAAAATGGCATTTTTGGTTTTGATGTAAGATTATTTTGCTTGTTTTAAGGAAAGACTCACTTTATTTTGGCTTCTCTAGAAAACGCTTCTTGATTTAAGAGGTTTTAGATGGACTAGAAACCAGACAATAACATCTTACAATTTTACCTTAAAACAAGCAAAATAATCTGCCAATAAGGCAAGCAAAATTACGGTATTTATCATTTTGATGTAAGATTACTTTGTTTACCCCATTGGCAGATTATTTGACTTGTTTTAAGGAAAAACTCACTCAAATTTGGTATTTTATTTATACAACAAGACAATAATCTTTGCTTCTCTAAAAAAAAGCTTCTTTAATTAAAAGGGTTTTAGATATTTGGACTAGAAACAAAACACCAATATCTAACAATTTTTAAATCAAGAAGCAAAGAATATTGTCTTGTTTTATGAAATATGGAAAAATTGAGTTAGTTTTCCCCTAAAACAAGCACAATAATCTGCAAATGAGATAAGCAAAATGATAAGCTTTTTCATTTTTGATGTAAGATAAGATAATTTTGCTTACCTTATTGGCAGATTATTTAGCTTGTTTTAAGGAAAAACCCACTTAATTTTGGCATGTTATTTCTTAAAACAAGGCAATATTTGTTGCTTCTCTAGAAAACACTTATTGATTTAAGAGGTTTTAGATATTTGGACTAGAAACAAGATGACAAAATCTAATTGTTAAATCAAGAAGCAAAGGCTATTGTCTTGTTTTCAAAAATAATATGACAAAAATCAAGTGAGTTTTACCTCAAAACAAGCAAAATAATCTGCAAATGAGGTAAGCAAAATGGCATTTTTGGTTTTGATGTAAGATTATTTTGCTTGTTTTAAGGAAAAACTCACTTTATTTTGGCTTCTCTAGAAAACGCTTCTTGATTTAAGAGGTTTTAGATAGTTGGACTAGAAACCAGACAAAAACATCTTACAATTTTTAAATCAAAAAGCAAAGAATATTGTCTTGTTTTCAGAAATAATATGCCAAAATTAACTGAGTTTCACCTTAAAACAAGCAAAATAATCTGCCAATAAGGCAAGTAAAATTACGGTATTTAATTTATCATTTTGATGTAAGATTACTTTGTTTACCCCATTGGCAGATTATTTAACTTGTTTTTAAAGAAAAAAATCACTCAAATTTGGTATTTTATTTATAAAACAAGACAATAATCTTTGCTTCTCTAAAAAAAGCTTCTTTAATTAAGAGGTTTTAGATATTTGGACTAGAAAGAAAACACCAAAATCTAACAATTTTTAAATCAAGAAGCAAAGAATGTTGTCTCGTTTTATAAAGATGGCAATATTGAGTGAGTTTTCCTTTAAAACAAACACAATAATCTGCAAATGAGGTAAGCAAAATGATAAGCTTTTTCATTTTGATGTAAGATAATTTTACTTACCTCATTGGCAGATTATTTAGCTTGTTTTAAGGAAAAACCCACTTAGTTTTGGCATATTATTTCTTAAAACAAGGCAATATCTGTTGCTTCTCTAGAAAACGCTTTTTGATTTAAGAGGTTTTAGATACTTGGACTAGAAACAAGACATAAAAATCTAAAAAAAAATTTAAATCAAGAAGTAAAGAATATTGTCTTGTTTTATAAAGATGACAAAATTGAGTGAGTTTTCTCTTAAAACAAACACAATAATCTGCAAATGAGAAAAGCAAAATTATAAACTTTTTCGTTGTGATTTAAGATTATATTGCTTGCCTCATTGGCAGATTATTTCGCTTGTTTTAAGAAAAAAAAACTCAATTTTGGCATATTTCTTAAAACAAGACCATATTCCTAAAACAAACACAATAATCTGCAAACAAGATGAGCAAAATTATACAATTTTTCGTTTTGATGTAAGATTATTTTGTTTACGCCATTGGCAGATTATTTAGCTTGTTTTAAGAAAAAGCTTAATTTTGGCATGTTATTTCTTAAAACAAGACCATATTCTTTGCTTCTCTAGAAAACGATTATTAATTTACAACAGTTAAAATATTTGGGCTAGAAACAAGACATCAAAGTCTAACAATTTTTAAATCAAGAAGCAAAGAATATTGGCTTGTTTTATGAAATTATTTGTCAAAATTGAGTAAGTTTTGATAACAAGCAAAATAATCTGCAAACAAGATGAGCAAAATTTTACAATTTTTTGCTTTGATGTAAGATTGCTTGCCCCATTGGCAGATTATTTAGCTTGTTTTAAGCAAAACTCACTTAGTTTTGGCATATTATTTCTTAAAATAAAGCAATATTCTTTGCTTCTCAAGAAAACACTTCTTGATTTAAGAGGTTTTAGATACTTGGACTAGAAACAAGACAGCAAAATCTAAAAGAAAAAAAAATTAAATCAAGAAGTAAAGAATATTGTCTTGTTTTATAAAGATGACAAAATTGAGTGAGTTTTCTCTTAAAACAAACACAATAATCTGCAAATGAGAAAAGCTAAATTAAAACAAGACCATATTCTTTGCTTCTCAGGAAAACACTTCTTGATTTAAGAGTTTTTAGATACTTGGGGTAGAAACAAGAAAAAAATTAGCATTTTTTGCAATCTACTTAGCTGTCTTTGTGTCAGCAGTTTGTATTTAAAGAAATAGTTCAGGAGAAACTGAAAAATCTTCATTTATTATTCATCCTTTACTCTTTGGAAACCTGTTTGATTTCTTATGTATTTTGATTTATTTCTATAAACTATCTTCATATTTCAACAGAATAAAGAAATTCTTAAAGATTTAAAACCACTTGAGAGAGTAAATATTGAGTAAATATATTTTGGCAGCGAACAATAACTTCAGCTTTTCCCTCCATTTTCTTTTCTTTCTGGGAGAAGTAACAAAGACTATTAGCAGTGAAGAATCATTATTAATGCAAGCAAATTACAAGAAGACGTTTCACATGCAGGTCATGTCCTGTCTAAACGTGTGCACGGTTAAAATGTAACCTAACCTGGTTGACTAGTCACCTATTACCGCCTGCTATTAATGTGACTTAACCATTAGCTTAATGTAAAACCCTGTGCTCTAGATTAGGAGGTTAAACAAAACCGTATTTGCATTCTCCACTTTAATCTGTAGTTACATAAACGCCATATTCATCCGTCATTGGGTGGTATGGTTTCCTTGACAACAGCGACAGTAATTGCTCGTGCTTGTTGATGAAAGCCTTCTTGGATAAACAGAATTTTAAGTAGGTCAGATGAATCCTGCTTTTATCATAACTCGACTGCCATGAGATGGCGGAGCTTTTGAAATTATGATAATGGATTCATTTGTCTTAATATCTGAGGGTGTGTTCAGAATGGTTTCGTTGAAAGAAGATATGCTGCAGAAAGTACATATATGGAGGAAAATAAGAGGAATTTGTACTTGCATGCCCAAATGCAACGCACTCAAGCTTTATTATTTTTCTGGTTGTTTTTAGAGCAGTTGGATTTTATTCAGATCTTTTATTAGCAGAATAAGTGCCTAATATTAAAACTTTTAATAAAATTGATTAAAAATTAAGTAAATTAAATAATTGTATGCTTTGTTTTTATACTTTTAAGTTTTTTTATCTACATTCTCAACAAACGCCAAAGGTCAGATTATAATTTAACTCTGAATGCTTCGCTTCTGATCTGCCAAACTGACCACTTAATCTGATCCACCATTACTCTACTCATGTCTCTTAGGTCTCGTTTGTGTAATTCCAGTTTGTTATATTTGACCTCATGTATGTTTGTTTATCTTTTTGTTGCATTCCTTGTAAAGTGTCCTTGAGCTCTGGAAAGGCGCTATATAAATAAAAATTATTATTATTATTATTATTATTATTATTGTTATTATTATAATGCAAGCACTCATACAAAACCAAAATATTTTTTTATAATTTATCATTAATTTTTTCTTCAACTTAGTCCCTTTATTTATCAGGGGTTGCCACAGCGGAATGAACCGCCAACTATTTCAGCATGTTTTACACAGCAGATACCCTTCCAGCTGCAACCTAGTACTGGGAAATACCTAAACACTCTCACATTCACACTCGTACAATACGGCCAATTTAGTTTACTCAATTCACCTATAGCGCATGTGTTTGGACTGCAGGGGAAACCGGAGCACCCCGAGAAAACCCACGCCAACAGAGGGACAACATGCAAACTCCACACAGAAATGATAACTGACCCAGCTGGGACTCGAACCAGCGACCGTCTTGCTGTGATTTGACGGTGTTTACCACAGATACACCAACTCACCCAGCCAGGACTCGAACCAGCAACCTTCTTGCTGTGAGGTGACAGTACTAACCACTGAGCCACTGTGCCACCTTATTATTAATATTATTATTATTACTATTATTATCATTGTTGCATTAAATTATAATCATTTTTTGACAGGGCAAGTGGAAATATATTCCAACTGGATTATTTGCCTACAATTCGTTTAGATTAGAATCAACTTTTTTGTTATTACACATGTAGAAGTAACTTGGTTTAGCCCTGTAAACACGTCTAAAATTTAATTCAGAATGGTCTTAAAAATGTCTTAAATTTAACTTAAAAATTTAAATAAAAAAATAAAAAGTTTAACTTAAAAATGTAACTGCAGAAACCCTGTAGTTATACAAAGTTTAACTTAATACTTTTAGTCGGTTTGACAGATGTAAGTTGAGATGACTAGAAATGTTCATCTGATTAAACTAGCAAAATTTTAGACAGCAAGCTTGATTTTTTTATATATATAAAATGCATGTTTTTTCCTGCACAGATTTACAATGTGGCCACCTCAATCCAATTTCCTACAGCCTCATTTATCACATTTAATGTTTCTTTAAACAAGATAATCTTTTGCTCTACAAGAATGAGCTGGCACGGTGGCTCAGTGGTTAGCACTGTTGGAGCGACTCGACCGTGAACACGGCGACAAATTTGCACTGTTGCCTCACAGCAAGAAGGTCGCTGGTTCGAGCCTCGGCTGGGCCAGTAGTCATTTCTGTGTGGAGTTTGCATTTTCTCCTCAGGTTTCCTCCGGGTTGTCTGGTTTCCCCCACAGTCCAAACACATGCGCTACTATAGATGAATTGAATTGAATAAGATAAATTGCTCATAGTGTATGTGTGTGTATTTCCAAGTACTAGGTTGCAACTAGGTTGCAGCTGGAAGGGCATCCGCTGTGTAATATGCTGGAAAAGTTGGCGGTTCATTCCGTGGTGGCGACCCCTGATAGATAAAGGGACTAAGCTGAAAAGAAAATGAATGTTTTATAGTTGTATCAGCAGGCTGCTGTATAAAGCAGACAATGCAGGAGTAGAGAATACAATAGTCTTAATTATAAACCCACAAGAATACACAAGAGACTGCATCAGAAAACAGCACAGCACCTTACAAAGACAATACTGAACAGTTAAGATGTGGGAACTAATTAATAACCAGGGAAACTAGCTGGAGAACTCAAGCAGGCAAAACAGAAACAAAAAAATAAATAAATGTAAACAACATGCAGTAATGGGATATTATTATATATAATATAGCCTAAGTAGCATGTTTTATTTTGTTTGTCAGTAGTATTGCACAGTATTATTATACAGTATATACTGTATATATTTTTTTCAATATAGTGGTTGCCCTATGTGAATTATAAGTTTATATATATATATATATATATATATATATATATATATATATATATATATATATATATATATATATATATATAG